GTTGCTCCTATGTATTCCTTGTATGAAAAAATTTCACACTCTACTGCTTAAACCTCTATCACTTATCCTGAGCTGACTCTGTTGCTAACATCTATCTGCTTTTGCAGTCATTAGGTCAGCTAAACCAAGAAAATCAGTGGTAAATGTAATTTACTGATATAAATATTTGGCTAAGGATAGCTTTAACACTAACCTGGTTCCAAACCCCTTTAATTAGTTATAGGGAATTGCAAACTTGGGGAACCCAAAAATGAAAAGGCTGGGTCTTAATATGGCTATTATTTCAATTGATTCACCTCAGAATCAATCTGACATTTGCATAATAATCCATTCTTCTTTTTCTCTCCCCTTTCCAAAAATTTCACTGTCAATCCCTGGAAATAAATTTGTAAATTAGTACATTTGTTCCTTTTCCACTCACAAGAAGACAGCAACTTTAAATATGTCTAGATTTAACTCTTTTCCTTATGTTTAAACTAGCATAATGACAGAATCATCTCAATGTGAGCAAAGCTTTATGATCAAGGGGATTATCTGAATCTCAAAGCAAGGATATGCCACATTCTTTGCAGTACCTGAAGGCAAATAGATCGCCTCTGCAGCCCTAATCTGGAACTCTCTGAAGCTGTTGAGGAAGCACTGGAAAAAATGCAGACCACGGTCTCTTGTTTCCCAGAAGGCTCAGATAAACAGCCAGCAGCCGCAGTTCATAGAGGAATACCACGATAACAAGCCTCCAATATACTGCCCCTGGTAGTCATGACAGGCAGAGTGCCATAGCATACATCTTCTTGCAGACAGATCTAGCTCTTGTTCCTGAACCCAAGGGGCCAAATGCTGCACCTGAAAGCTAAAACACACTTTTAGAAGTTTAAAACAGTTTTTGCCTGCTTCCCACCTTGACCACTGACAAGAACAGGATGCTCTAATGTAGGTTTTCTCCTGAGCAGTTAAAAAGAAGAAAAAGGGCAAAAGGTCTTTGAATAAAACTGTGTAACACAAGTATATTTTTATGTTTTTATGCTACTACAAGGAAGACTTGCCTCACATTTGACACCTTTATTGGCTCTGGTTGTGAAAGTATATGTGCTTGCTTTAAGTTGCTGTCCTTAGTATTGTTCCTATTCTTCCTTATGCCTCTTATCTGTGGCTCCTTCAAACAAGCACTTTGTTTACCCAGGGAGTGATGGGATGCTGATAAAAGGGCATGTGCGATAATCAAAACCCTTCTCAGTTTCTCTGTGGTGTGATGACCTTGTGCTCTACCTCTGCCTGCCTTCCGGCCAGTGCTGCCCAGACACAACAGTGTTAAACTTCAGAATGCATCAGGAGTCCTGGTAGCCTAGTCACACATATCGAACTTTGCACTTGGACGTAAAACCAGCTGCAATTGTGTTGTTTACCATTTTTCCTCCTGGTAACCAAATATTCCACAATTAGAGGTAAAACAGATCCTACATACATGTTGGATAATGAATAATGGATAGATTGTTTTAGGTATCTATAGTTCAAACCACCAAAGTAGATTAGAATTGAATGGCCAAATCTGTGCCTAGGCTGTGTGGCCATGTCTCTTTACACATGCTTTTTTAAATGCCTGACACAGTTTGCCATGTATCAGAAGGCACACGTGTGATTTTAACCTGTGGGAGACAAGCCCGCTATATGGTCCCTATATAGTAGGGAACAGAGTACACAGTGGTAGATACCAAACCCCTGTAAGTTAGAACAGAAGAAAGTTTCATTTTCACTGTTCTTGGGGAGATTTCCATGCCAGCTCATGCTCCAGAAGGAACACCTATAACTTAACAGCTCTTTATTTGTGTTCACTGATGTAATCTTAGAAGGGTTGCCAAGGTACCTATGGACACAAGACTCTGTACAGACGGATTCTCAGAAGCCACTGCAAACCACTGTAAGCCATTATTTTGATCAGCATACACAAAGTCTTCAGGTCTTATGCTTTTTAACTACTTAAACCGAATTTTGGCCATGGATGCATTGGGATACAAAGTATTTGGGCCTGTTCATGTACATTCTTGGAGAGTTGAGTGTCAAGGTGGATTTTATTAAGTATTAGTAATAGCTGTATGCATATTTCATTAAAGGTCTTCATCAAAGCCATGAGGTGTGTATCAAAGTAAACTCTCTTCTTTGTGTCAGACACATCACACAACCTTCACCAGAGACATTGCTAGAACGGGAAATCCCCTTGGGAAATGAGTCTGAAGAGATAAAACAAAGTTGAATGATGAAAGAAGGACAAAGAAAAAAAAAAGGGAAAAAAGAATTCTCCTTTTGCTATTTAGATACCTGTTGTGACTTTGTTCAAAGCAGCAGTCTGCCAGTGGTTCCTTAGATTTCCAAAAAGTAATATTTTTTCCCCCCAATGAACCCTTCAATGAACCATACTTACATAGGAACTTTTTCTACAGGCCCTTGAAGCATCATCAACGTTCAGTGTAAACCATCAGCTATGCTGCAGGTGACATGTAAAATTTGTACATATAAATCAGCCGAAGCCTGCATAAATATACATGCATTAGTCCTGTGAATAGCTCTGTTAGCATCAGCTAAGCTTCCTAGGGACTGGAAGTGTCAGAGAATAATGCCTGGATCACTGATTCTGTTTGCAATGGAAGTGACAATAGTAATGAGAAATGGCAAAAGACTTATTTTTACTGAGAAAGAACAAGTTATAGAGAAAGAATAAAGGACATAAGAGCCTGAAAATACTCAGAAGTTATAGAGAACATATTTATCTGTATGGTATTAGATGTCCCAAGAGATGAAGTCTCCTAAGCTTTTGCTTCCTATTTCTCTGCTGACATGCGGGCAGCACTGAGGGGCAAAGCGAAGCTGCACTTTTAGGCAAGCAACTGTGTCCTTACACAGTTACTGTGTGAAAATGCCTCTCTGACCTTCCCCACACAGTGCTGTTCTTCAGTTTCAGTCTGCATGAGCCACCTGGGAGATGTAGGCCAGGTGTATGTAAAGAAGATGGTATCAGACTCATGGTCCACAGATGAACTTCATTCACATTCCAAAAGTCAAATGCAGAAAAATATTCAGCTCTTCATAGAAAAATAAGTTGGGGGAAATGGTGAAAAAGGAAATTTAGACATTCTGCCAGAAAAATACAGCCAACAGTAAATATGGGAAAATATTATGGTAGAGAAGAAAAATTACACCGTTTGGCATGTTTAAAATCAGCCATGCTGGTTTAACTGGTAAAACCTCTTTTAGGGAGAAGCCCTGCACTGCTGGAAGGTGACAAGATGTCCCAGTAATTTCTTTCCATTTTCACATTCTTTGGCATTAATTTGTGCTACTTCACATCAATTTTAGACATCAACAAAATCTGTTGTTGGTTCGGAGAGTGCAAGTGAGAGCAGAACTGAACAACCTGAGCCTCTGCTAAGCATTTACTAATAAGGAGTTAAATGTGTGATTTTCCAATTGCTTGTTTTCTGGACAGATAGTGTTTCTTTTTAAAAGCTACAATGGCTGCTAAGAGTGATCAGCTCATATCACTACATCAAAACCCAACATTTATCACCAAAAAAACCCAAAGAAAATGTTAATGTTGTTGGTAAATGTCTAGGAAACTCAGCTGTACCTGCATTTCCATGCCCTGTATGAACCAGGTCCATAAGGGGCTTCAAGAGTCACATACAAATGTGGTAAAGGGAATCATAGAATAGAATCATAGAATCATAGAATAGTTAGGGTTGGAAAGCACTTAGGATCATCTAGTTCCAACCTCCCTGGGCAGGGAGCACCTCACGCTAAATCACGTCACCCAAGGCTCTGTCCAACCGGGCTTGAACACCGCCAGGGATGGAACATTCACAACTTCCCTGGGCAACCCATTCCAGTGCCTCACCACCCTCACAGGAAGGAACTTCTTCCTTCTATCCAATCTAAACTGCACACACTGAAGCCGGCTCATGTTCATTTTCTCATCGACCAGCACCCCCAAGTCCTTCTCCGCAGGACTGCTCTTGATCTCTTCTTTGCCTAGCCTGTAGCTGTGCCTGGGATTGCTCCCACCCAGGTGTAGGACCTTGCACTTGGCATGGTTAAACTTCATGAGGTTGGCATCAGCCCACCTCACAAGTGTGTCAAGGTCCCTCTGGATGGCATTCCTTCCCTCCAGCGTATCAACCGAACCACACAGCTTGGGGTCATCGGCAAACTTGCTGAGGGTGCACTCGATCCCACTGTCCATGCCACTGACAAAGATGTTGAACAAGACCGGTCCCAACATCGATCCCTGACGGACACCACTTGTTACTGGTCTCCAGCCAGACATTGAGCCACTGACCACAACTCTTTGCATGCAGCCATCCAGCCAGCTCTTTATCCACTGAGTGGTTCACCTATCAAATTGATGTCTCTCCAATTTAGAGATGAGGATGTCGTGTGGGACAGTGCTGAATGCTTTGCACAAGTCCAGGTAGATGACATCAACTGCTCTAGCCCTGTCCATCAGTTCTGTAGCGCCATCATAGAAGGCCAACAAATTGGTCAGGCAGGATTTCCCCTTAGTGAACCCATGCTGGCTGTCACCAAGTACCTTGTTTTTCATGTGCCTTAGCATGCCTTCCAGGAGAATCTGCTCCAAGATTTTGCCAGGCACAGAGGTGAGACTGACTTGTCTGCAGTTCCCTGGGTCATCCATTTTCCCCTTCTTGAAAAGGGGGTTATATTTCCCTTTTTCCAGTCATTGGGAACTTCACCTGACTGCCATGATTTTTCAAATATGATGGCCAGCGTCTTAGCAACTTCATTCGCCAGCTCCTTCAGGACCCGTGGATGGATTTCATCAGGTCCCATGGACTTGTGTACATTCAGGTTCTTAAGATGGTCTCAAACCAGATCCTATCCTACAGTGGGCCTAGGGTCTTCATTCTCAGTCCCTGCGTCTGCTTTTCAAAAGAAAAGAAAGTAATAACTTCTACTCTCCTCATATTCCACTCTCTTTAGGCTGTGGATATTGTGCAAGTGACAGGTGATATTTGCCCTAACAAAGCTCAGTCTGCTGTTTGAAGGGGCAGTGTAGGAGTGCATGAATCAGACAACCTCAAATAAATGGCAAGTAGGAGTCAGCACTAGAGGACCATTTTCCAGATCTCGATTTTAGGAGGAATCTGCTCTCTCATCAGCAGCCAATGGGTGGTGGCAAATAAATCTGTTTGTGTTATGCAGATTCTTCCTGATTGTTTTTCTATCTTTGAAATAGAGATAATTTCACGTTCTACCTACATATGTTAAGAAAATACCAGTATTTACATTTAATTGTCTTAAATGAATATAATAATATTGCATATACAGCACAAATGAAAAATGAGTTCTCATTAAAGTATTAGATCCTGCCCAAAGTTTTGTGACATCCTAACATTATAACACATGGCAAGTTGAAAAGTTTTCTTCCCTCATGCTTGGTTTCTTCTGCATTTGCATTCCTACCTCAAATACATAAATTGCCTAGGGCTTCCCTCAGATAATGAGGACTCTTCAGCCATTTTAAGGATTTCTCTGGTCTCTGGAAACTTCCTCCTTGAGGCCAGAAGTGAGAAAGAAGATATGAATTCCACATTCAAACCTGAGGATTGAGAGGTTGCTGACCTATGATGCAATTTCCTCCTGTATGAATAAGAAATGTAGTGCAGAATATGCAAAACCAGCACGTGGCTACTGCCTGAAAATGACTCTTTTGTCGTCTAAAAGCACAAAGTTTTAGTGCCACTGCAGTCTTTCCCAGAAAAGGATAGGTCATCTGTCAACCAGATCATGTATTACAACACAGGAGAATTCAGTTTTATTTTCATATTGGCACAAGGGATAAAGAAGCTTCATTTACCAGTTGAGTCTGATCTCAGACATACCAGGGAAATCTGTTCAGGAAAGAAACTTCAAGATCAGATTGAGCTGATAGCAATTATATTCACAACTATGTCACCTGCTTGTATTGTAACATGATTTTCCTGACATTCTCCGTTTTCTTTGCTTCTGTTCATGGCAGCTGAGCAGAAATAAAATTATAAAAAAAAATTTAAAAATGCAGGTAAAAATTGGAAGAACACTTCTGTTTGAAATTTGTTGCAAGAATTTGAAAGATTAAAGCCCTAAGTTGGAAGGGAGGGAAGTCAGATTTCAGCTGAATATTTTCATGTTCTGAGTAAAACACTGAAGCAGTGACCTTAGGGCAGATAATATTGCTTTTTTGAAGGAAAAAAAAAAAAAAAAAAAAGGTTCAATATTCAACTGAGATCTCTCAAGGAGGTGTCCAGTAAATGTCAGGATTTGATTTTCTTTTCTTGGAGGAGAAAGTTATTACTGATAACAACTTGCAATATCTTCATGTATAATCAGTTTCGTACGTACTGCCATATAACTAAACATTTAGGCCATTGGAGAAGTTCTGTAACTCCTTTTCTATTTTTAAGATGAGATGGATAGAAAGAATATATGTTAAGGCAGTAAAGCATACATGTCCAGACAAATGATCCTATCTTTCAGAACTAGTCAGAAAATTAGTTGAAGTAATATTTGGCTAATATTCAAGTTGATAGGTATAACCTATCTGGAATGTTGCTAAAATATGCTAACTGGTTTACTTGTTAAGTACCTGAGAATATTAAAAAGGATTGAAAAAGTAACTATAAATATTCATTCTTATCACATTTTGAAGATTACTGTAGTCCAGAGGCTGCCAAATTAACATGAAGAAAAGGTTATTGTTTTTCAATCTTTTGTTTTGAGCCATTGTCAGTACACAAGGCACGATCTAACCACAAGTCAGGGTAAACTGTATCTAATTACTTCCCATACGTGAGACTGATACCCTCTGATCATGATGGGCACACTCATTTTTCCCTGTGAACATCATTAGGAGATGATTTCGGGAAGAAGCAAGCTCATAATTATTTTTAACAGCAATACATTTTTTTTTGTCAGATATTAAGAGGAGTTGTCTTCCTTACCAGCTAACATCTGAGTAGTTTCTTCAGTAACAGTTGGTTGTAAAAATTATTATCTGAGTTCAGGGTATATGATGTTATAAAACAGAACAGACAAGGACCAGATTAAAACCAAAAAATGTGCAAGATCAATGCACACTTTATTGTATTGTTTACAAAGTAGTAAATTGTGTACAATACTGCACTAACAGGTAAGGTGTTTTCCTTGTTTCAAACAACCTACAGCCTTAACATAGCACGTCAAAACATAGACTTAAAGGCAAAAATAAGTAAGGGTGTGAGATTACTGCTGTGAATTGTAAAGAAGAGAGTTACCTTGGAGGTGCATGTTCAGGGACAGACTGCAGAGTAAGAGAGAAGAGAGTCTGAAATGCAGATGAAAGCAAAAAGGTGTTCTAGCAGGGTAGAAGGAAGGAAGCAAAACAGATAAAAGCAGCAGGAAAATTAAAGGATTGGGAAGAGCAAAAAGAACAAGGGAAGGAAGATAAAAGCAGGGTGAGGTGATGAGGTATGCAAAATTCTACACAGACACTTATAAAATTAAAAACACACCCTGGTGTGTACAAAACTTACCCACACCTTCTTTTCACACACAGATCACTGTAATGCTACCTGATAGTCTCACAGATAAGTACTCCATTTCACAAATATAAAAGCATATAAAATCCACAGCCAACTAACCTCCAGTCTAAATCAGATACAACCCTCAACTGAGAAGTGATTTATATAGACATTGAACTTATTATGATGAGACATTACATTGATTATTACTAGGGCTATACCCTGTCCTGAAGCTTGCTATGCAAATAGCTACAGGTTGAGACCTTGACATGTATGCTTTTGACTTTATTTCCAGTCTAGTCCTATGCCTATTACTAAGAACCTAGCTACCTTTAAAAACCATAAAAGTGCACTGGTGGTAGCCAGTGTGACACAGCACATGAAAGTGTCATCATCTGAGACCTTTGGGAGGTGAATGAAGTGCAATGATGAAATCAGGGAGCGGGTGTTTGGGAGGTGCTGCTTTCTTGCATACTTAAGGCTGTAGATATTAATGTCTGCGTAAGGGTTGTCTTTTTGTTTCATTTGGTTTGGTGGTCAAACCCATCATGCTTCAATGGCCAAATGGTAGCAGGTTACGAATAACAAAGAAATTACAACAATGGGCTTTGAGATCATATTTGGGAGCCAACATAACATATGGTTTCAGAGTCGGAGTGTGGGGAAAGTCAACTACTAGAATAAGATGCCTTGAGCAAGTATCGATCATTCTGACTGTCTGGATGTGCAGTAAAATCTGAGAAGGGATTTGAAAGCTTATATAAATTAGTGTGGTGAATGTTAACACACACATGTTCATGTGGGTGTATACAGTCTTCTAAGCAGAAAGACAAACATACATATAGATGTAATAGTTAAAAGGGGGAGTGATAGCCATGACCAAGCATCTGCATATTCTAATCCTAGCACCATTTAATTGGATCCTTATAGCACCGAGACCTCCATTTTTATTGTTAGTGCATGTAGTTTGCAGCAGGATGGTCTTGCAGTGGAAAAGTTTATCCTGATCTACTGTATCCATGCATCTGTTTAATACAGAATGTAACTGTATGAAGAAGTAATATCCCTCCCAAAAGATTCCTGCCTCATTTAGAATACCTATTTTCTGTCTCCTGAATAAGAAAATGAACTATGGAGATGGCAAACTTCTTAGGGCCAGCCATATTCCATTAATCTAAGAAATCCTGTCAAACTTGACCTGTGTTTGCACTTCTCTCCTAGCCATACAAATGCAGTAGGATTCTCAGTGTAACTGGCCTGCTGACTCACTACCAAATAAAATTGTCTTGCTGGATAAGCCTGACCCTTAGGCCACCAGTGGGCCAGCTGTGTAGTGTATAAGGAAGATGAAAAGAACACTTATGGTGAAGTGCAATGGGGAGAACACAGGGGTGGTCTTTCTTACTTTCAGTATGGCAACCCCTGCCTTTTGGCTGAAGCCCTGAACGTTTGCTGAACACTTACTGAAACCTTTGCCACAGACTGGTTATGATGGCTGGCTTCACTGCTTTCCTGTGCTGTGGGGAAGGGAGGAAAAACAAAAAACAGTGTTGGGAAAAGTTACATTGGGAAACTTTGGATGAAAGTGGTCGTGGAGGCTTCAGTCCTCCTCTGCACAGATCACATGAGGGTAGATGGTTAGTTCTTTCCAGCTTTGCTGACACTTGGTTTCTTTCCACTCTTTTTGCCAGAGATGACTTAAAATGTCACCAGTCTGCTCTGTGTCTTTCATGCACTGAAAACAAGTATGTTACAGGTGTCAACGTTAGGTACTGCTCCTACATCTTTCCCAATTTTAGGGCTTTTCTACCAATTATAGAGAAGTGCTTATCACATTTATTACAGGCACTGTCAAGTTTGTCACTTCCCTTCATTATGCGTATCTACTCTTAACCCAACCCCAGTGGCAAAGGAGATAATATCACATACTTGGTCTCTCTAATATCGCCACATCCCAGATAGTTACAAGAAGTTTGGCATGCTTAGCGGTGATGGTTGGGCAAATTCTGTTTAACAGGTCTGAGTAAGAACTGCAGCAGTAGACATTAGGAGGTAGAACTGCAGGAGCAAAAGGGCTCTTACTTGAATCTGTGACAGATATTGGCTCCCATGGTCAGCCTCACTGCTTGTTTGGGTGTTTTGAATATATCCAGGAGATCAAGAAGAAATATATGGCAGATAATCTTATCTCCAAGCAAGTAAAAAATGCAGAACCATGAAATGTCCAATGACTGACCACAATGAACATCTTGGTAGTAGATTGTAGGAAGGCAGTGCTTCTATCATAATATCCCTAAAAATTTCCTTATTATAAGTTCAGAAGTGAGTCTGGACAATTTAAGAGTCAGGCAGCTGCTCCTCTTTGAGGAAATAATTTCTTGAAGGCTTTGCGGTATCTTTTTAGTGGTAGTGGTTACACCACTAAAAATTACAAATACAACTGAAAACCATTGGCATTGCAACTTGCACTGTTATCCTGCATGTCCAACAGGTTTTATGTAAATGCTTGAGGAGGGAAGTTTATAGGTTTCTTTAAGTAGTAATTTGTCTATTACCCATAGCTTCTCTGTGCTGTCAGAAGATTTGGCTAATATTGCATCATATTGCTCAAGTACTATCATGTTGCTGGGTTAGTATCTGGAACAACATGTGGATTAAAAGCTGCAGAAAATTCTAATAAATAAAATTACATTGTCCACAGCAAAACAATTTTCACTTTTACATGCTGTTAAAATATTCTTGTTTATATGCCAACATCGTGAGATCCATGATGCTCAGACTAAGTTCTCAATTGGCCTCTGCTAATATTCTAAGTCAGCTATTATCCCAGTTTGATCAGTGGATTAAATTACACAATTCATAATAAAAATATGCCATTTACATTGTTAGCTTTTTGCAATCAAGGTTTTTAGGAACCTTATTACATGCAACCATCTATCTCTGTGACTTTGACCAACATAGGCCCTCCTCCTTGACCTTTAATATTAAAAATTAGGGTTTCTCGTGAATTACATTTTTTGGCTAAAAAATATTTCATGGAGATTTTTCTTCTAGCTTATTTCATACTACTGAAAGCACCAAACCTGGGAAGCATGAATGGTC